GTAGTATTTTATGAATCTAATTCTGTACTGTCAACTATCTTTTCTTTTGAAAGTCATTAATAAATTTTGTTTGTTTTTTTTTTGATGAGAAACATAGTAAAATGATAATTTACGATTTTGTTTTGAAAAAAAAAGATTTCTATTCTGGGATTTCGGAAACATTTTTTTCTTTCCCGTCAAATTTCTTCAGAATCTATCTATCTATCCAGTCTGTAATATTGTAGTTTTGTTAAATTATTTTTTTAGTAAGTTAGTTAATCACATTGATTACTTGGTTAATCATCATCATTTTTTTTAACTCTGTTTCTTTTTTTTTCGCAAACGGATGATAAACACCAGAGAAGAAGAGAAAAAAGCTTCTTTCGCCGGATATCGATTAGTTTTTTTTTTGCTGAATGAAACAGATTTATTTTAGCATCTCTATTCTCTTCTTCTTCTTCTTCTTCTTATCATTTTCAATGTTTATAGAATGTTTTCCTGTTGTCCTGTGTCATTATATTTGTTATCAAATGAAACAGAAATTTGTTACAATTCATTAGTTAATAATAAAAAAAAACTAAACTAAATTGTATGGGTAACAAATAAAACAAAACAAAAAAAAAGACAGACAGACAGACAGATAGAAAACCAAAATAGAAATCAACGTTAAATTCGTGTGCTTTTGTGTTTCTGTAAATCATTAAATGTCAGCCAGTCTTGTTGTTTTCAATCATTCAATGTTTAAAAATGTCATTTGATGTTTATGGAAAGAAATATTCTTCTTTTTCACTGAACAAAAAATGATTATTCAAAAAATGTTGTTTTAATTCTTTTCGACAAAAATAAAAAACGATAATTTGAACCGTATTTTTTAACGCATTTGAAAACAACATAACATAATGGATGATGTATGGCATATATCGATCGAAATTTACAAATACCCGCACACACACACACGCAGTGATGCAAGTGATCATTTCGAATCATTTAGCTTTTCGCTTTTCATTCATTTCATTTCATATATGTAATGTAATAATATTTTTCCTTAATAATACTTTCCCTGTCAGGCAATAGAAATTGAAAAGAGTGAAAGGGAGAGAGAGAGAGTGAGAGAGAGAGAGCCAAAAAAAAGTTAATTAAATTAATTCGAATCGTTTGACTTGATTCTATTTCGTTTTTCTTTTCCTTGCTTTCTTCAAGACTTTCACTTTTTTTTTTGATTCCGTGTTGAAAATAAAAAAAAATATGCGATTAAACGATGAAAAAGAAAAACTTTCTTTCTTTTTTGGATTGGCGTAAAAAAAACATTAGAAACAAAAAAAGAAAAATCCAAAAGATTTTTCTTTTTGCTTTACAGAATTAGATTTTGAAAAGAAAAAATTCTTTTCAGTTTAGCTTAATTAATTTTAGCCAATACTGTTTTTGGTTGGTAATTTCCAATGATTTTTTTTTCAAGTTCTTTTCCCGCCAAGCTTTCTTCATTCTTGATAGATTCATAGTCATTATCAATTAGAAATTGATCAAAATTCAAATTCTGAACATTCAATACGTATACATATGATATTTAACCTATATGTTATTTAATTCAATTATAATTCGTGATTTCAAAACATTTTCTACAGAAAATTGATTTGAATAAAAATACATTATTGATCAATGAAACGTTTACGTGAATTGTTGAATCTGTATAAAGAGATAAATGCGTTTGGAAAACCACAAAATAAAATGATAGTTAAACAACAACAACAACGGATGTCTTGATAAGAGAAATTCCCCCCCCCCAAAAAATGAATGAATACGAAGTGAATGGAAAAAAAGAAACAACCAACGTATTTCGATAAAGTCAACAAAAATCTGAAAACACACCTGAATTGATAAACTTTTGTTCATTTAGTGTTATTGAAATGAAATGAAATGAAAAGCAAAAAAAAAGTTTTGATATCCAATTCCTGTGTTTACAACAACAACAAGAGAAAAAATATCGATAATTATTACATTGTCAATCGAAATCATACATTGATTTTTTTGGTAAAATTTTTTTTCATGTTTTGGCTGTTGTTGTATCGATTTCCTTGTTTGCAATAGAAATTGATTTCTATTGCGATTTCAACATTATATCATCATCATCATCATCATTATCAAGTAGCCGGGATAAATGATGCTCGAGGGATTTTATTTTCATTGTTGTTGTTGTTGTTGCTGTTGCTGTTGAAACGGTAATCATATATACATGTATGAAGCCAGCGAATACAACACTTGATGATGATGGATAAAAATTGATGGCTGAGAAGAAGAAGAAATGGAAGAAGAAATGAAAGAAAAATATTACACACAATCATTTTAAGCATTAAGAATTTTTTTTTTCACTTAAACTCATTATATTCTTTCTTCTTTTTTTTTCTATTCCTTGATACAAGTTTTTCAAATATTTTTTGGTTTTCTTTGTATTTTTTTTGGTTTTCTGTTTTGATGTTTTGATGTTTATTTTATCCGGTTGAATGGCTGTTAACTGATAACAACAAGGGTTATTTTTTAGTTGCCAAAAAATATTACCAACAATCGACACACACACACACACACACATTACAATAAAAATACAATTGGTTAGAGAAACAAAACAAAAAAACACATAGCAGAATCATGGATGGATGGTTAAATAAAGAAAAAAAGATTAGTACAAAGAAATTGACCTCGAATCTTTTTTGGATGTTGTTGTTGTTTTTTTTAATAATACTCTAAAGTATATAAGTAATTGTTGTTTGTATAACGATAAAAACAACAACAACAACAACAATAATATTTGATATTTTATGAATCGAATGATTTTTATGTGTTATCAATATGTGTTTCAACGAAAAAAAATATATGAAAATAGGAAAATAGGAATCGGGTATTTCTTCTCTCTCTCTCTCTCTTCGGTTATCCTATTTCCTCTTTTTTCATAAATACTTTTACAGAATAGCGATTAGCATTTTTCTTTTCAAACAAACAAACAAAGAATTAAAATTGATTTGGGTGTTAATATTTTCTTCTTTTTTTTGTCTTTTCCTATTGCAAACTACTGTTTTTGTCGTTGTTGTTGTTGTTCAGTTTTTCTTCTTGTTGTTTGCAATATTTTTTTTGTGTAATTCGTTATCGAATTAACACTTTTTATGTCAAGAATATTCTCTCTAGTATCTACAGGATTTCTTTGGGGAGTTATAAGTTCTGCACTGTTCTCTGTGTGTGTGTGTGTATGTCATGTATATTAGTTAGTTGTCATTCATATTCTGTCAATTTTTTTTTACTCATTCAACTCAACTTCATAATATAATTGATTCTATACGTTTGTTGTTTT